TTGGATGTTGGGCGCATTCCAAGCTTGGACTGTCAAACACAGCGTGTTTCCAAGGGCAAAGGGTGAGCAAGCAAGCTGCTCGCCGGCCCCTGCAATGCTTTTTTGTTTCCTCCCTCCTCGTGTGCTTTCAATGATGATGAGTGTAGAGCGGTCTGACCCCGGCACAATAGAAGGCCCAGCTCCTTGAACTTTGCGGGGCAACATACGCTGGCCCCCATGACCCTGACTGCGTGGCCACCTGATTTCCCCGGAGTCCCAAAACAAAAACTCATTGGATGACCCCTCGACTGATCCCGTCCTCCTTCGCAGATACATTTAAATCATCCCATCCTCCTCTGTCTGCAGGAAAACGCATCTTTATTAATAAGACACCGTCACTCCCTTAATGCATTTTCTTCCTCTTTTGGTTTTGTGTGGCCACACGTTTCAAATCTTTACTAGGATTTGTGGTTTTTTTTACATTGTTTAGAATCTTTTATTGCATTTGGCGCAAATTGTTTAATGTTAAGAAATTAGTTTGTGTTTGTTGGTATCACTACAGCTCAATCTGTTTCCGTGTGGTTAGCCTAGTGCGAGTTTAAAGGCACCTTCATAAATATTTCTGATTTATTACAGCCTGACATTGTGATGACAGCATACCTTCCAGAGATGGGTTTTCTGTAACTGTTGTGGATATAAAGAAAAACAGGGGGGTTTAAACATAAGGCTAACTGCTTAAATGTTGACAAAGCACTTTGTGGAAATTCTATTAAAAGTTAAATATGTTTAATGCAGTAAAAGGTTAAAGCTTGAAGGAATCTTTGGTCCTGATTCCAGTTTTATCAGCAGCATGAAATTAGAAAACAACAAAAGAAGCTGCTAGTTTCCCAACACAATCAATTCTGTTCAATCCATTTAAATTTTTATATCGTCAAATAACAACAAAAATCGCCTCGTGTCACTTTATACTGTAATCATAGAGAGACAGAAGCTCAACAATGAGATGACCCCTTATAAGGAAGCACTAGGTGACAGTGGGAAGGAAAAACTCGCTTTTAACAGGAAGAAACCTCCGGTAGAACCAGGGAGGGGCAGCCGCCTGGAGCAGTGGGGCAGACCGACTTAAAAATGGTAAATGAACTTATTTAGCGCCTTTCTACTCAATTTGAGCGCTCAAAGCACATTCTACTACGAGTCTGATTCACCCAGTCACACACATTATTTGATCTGCTATCTAACAAACGCACTCAGATAAACGTACTCAGTCCACTCAGGGTTCGGTATCTTGCCCACGGATACCTCGACACATGGATCAATCCACCGACCTTCATATAGGTAGATAACCTGCTGACCACCTGAGGCACCAAATAGCTCATCACTGAGGGAAAACTAAACTACCTGGTTTAGTTAGGCCTCAGTGACACAGGCCTAGAGCCTGTGAGTGAGAGTGTCTCAGACTGCTTGCACATCTTCTTTGCTCAGTATAGATGACTTCTGCAATCTGCTAGTGACCACAGCAATCACTAAGAGATTTTTGGTGCAGAACCCGCTTTGCAATCGATTTCACTATCCAGCAACTACTCGCCAACTGGTTGGGGAATACGCAATTTTCCCCCGTGACCCGTGCGACTGGGGCCTTGGGTCAGCACTAACTGGATGACACAGCAGGACAATAACCTTAAACATTAAAGCAACTCTAGCACACAATTATTTTCAACAAAGAAAATCTGTGTTTTGGAGCGGTCCAGTCAGAGCCCAGACATCCAGCCATTCACACCAGACACACTAAGAATATGGCTAAACTGAAGCAGTTCTCTAAGGAAGAACGGTCCAAATTTCCTCCCACGTTGTAAGGAGTGATCTCAATACCACATTGGCTTTTTGGAAATTAATGTGACATGCTGGTGACAATATGATCAATGTTCTGTTTGTTAACACAGTATTAATTCTCTGCATGTGGTGTTTCTCCATCAAACAAATTGTAACGGCAGTGCTTGCAATACCTCACATAAGCACAGAGGTAGCAAGAGATCTGCCCGCGTGCGTCTCTGTTTGGACTTTTCCAGAAGCATTTAGCAGCTCTGCATTTGGTGTCTTGTCAATGTACCTAGCATGTCTGCCCTTTGAGGAGGAGGGCGGGGGTGGGTACCGCGGGGACATTATGAAGATGGACGACGCTGTCACGTTGGGATAGTGTTTGTAGCAATGCAAGCATTTTCTCCTATTCTATTATCATTATCATGGCTGATGTTAGTGTTACAATAGCCATTTCAGGAAGCGCTTGTGACGCCGAGGCCGAAAGGCAGGAAAGCTAAATGGAAAACAGAGAGATTGGAATTCAAGAGGTGAATATGTGTTGTATAATATCTGCGTTTACAGATAATTGGAAGCACAGAGTGACTGCTGTGCCTTATGAAATCTTTGGCAGTGTGTGGCCACAATATAAGAGCGAGCAGCTGCAAAAGAAAGCGTTGCCAGGTTGATTTATTGTTCCTCGCAAACATTTGTGTAGTTAATGGTCTAACGCCAAGCTATGCTGCAAAACCAAGCATGAAGGAAGGTTAAGGCTCAGGGTACAATTTCAACTTTTATGAGCCGTGACACACTTCGCAAACTGTGCAGGCCGTGAGCCGTAATCGAAATTCGGCAGCGGCGCCATCAATTTAATGCCGCGGAAACGTAACACGACTAATCCAAATTAGTCAGAAAATCGTACGAGCGAGTATTAGCAATGTCATCGCCAGGGCAGCCACGCTTCCAGTGGGAGGCCGCGCATGGTAACGCTGTTTCTCTGACACCACCGCCACCTCTTCTCTGTCTCACATGGTTGTCCTTTAGGATGCTGGAGCAGGTGTGATAAATGCTGCCGTTTAAATCAAAGCACTCCCCTCTCCCTCCTCACCCCCTCTGGGGAGAAAGAGGAGGCCTCCATGCAGATTGATATCAGGAGGCCCGGCCACATCCTGCAAGGCCTGACTGATGGTCTGTCTGGATAAAAAAATGAACTTTATACCCACCATGCGAGCTATGATTCATGTGCCTCCCCTCCCCCTTGCCTCAGCTGAAAGCAGTCCACCTTCACTACACGCACTCTGGAAACAGTATAGTACATCATATAGAGCCGCACAGCCCGCCTACACCCAGAAAATACCAATGAGGTACATGTGATAACAACTTATATTAAGCTAGCATTATTATTTTTCTCTGACTTCTATGGAAAAATCCAACATTGTGTTTAGTCTTAGTCATCAGTGTGAAAAAACGCTGGAATGTGGGGAAAAAATAAATAAATATACATTTGAAATCTGTCCCTCGAGTCCTGTTTGGCAGAGATTTTGGCGTGTTTGACCATTGATTTCGTTTAGTCCTTCTGCCCTTCCATACCATGATGAGTGACAGGCAGGCAGAAGCGCTGGGGTCACATTACTCACAGTTAGCATTCTGTTCTTCCTCTTTCCTGCGCTAAAAACATGGTGAAGCATTGCACTTTACGCTCCAAAAGTGAGCATAGTGTGGGAGTTGATGGTGGAAAAAAAGAAAAGAAGAAGAAGAAAACAGCTCTGCTTTAGATTCCAATTAATTTTCCACCTGAAAGGGAAAAAAACCCCCACTGTATCTGCACGGAAGAATAATTGCAGTTAAATTATCTCGAGTCTTACTTCAAGTTGGGCCCTAATGGCATCGCATCTCAAAGCAGACAAAATGTTTTGACTCCGTGTCGCAAATTTTCCACGGCCATTTTAGACCTTTTTATTATCCGTCCGCAAAACAAGTTGTTAGTCTGTGTGGCCGCTGAGTGGAAAAAAACACCAGCGCAACTCGGTCTTCCTCTTAGGGAAGGAGCTGACGTGGATCATAAAAGCTTTTTGCATAGGTGTCAGTGTGGATGGAATAGGTTTTCCATAATTGCAGCCTATAAAAGTGTCAGGTGACGGACAGCCAAGGCTAATGAGAGAGTGGAAAAGGACAGTGAGGCGACATCCCATAATTATCACCTCAAATCAAAAATTCATAAGAGAAGAAAAAGTAAGTAAATAAACAGGAAAAAACCATCCGTTTGATGTATGCTTTCTTTTTTCTTCTTGTTTTTGACAGAGATGTTACGGTGAAGAGAAAGGTGAGGTGATGTGGTCGCCGAAGCGAAACTAATGACTGAATAACAGCCAGCGTTTAAAGTCACACGCAAGATAAAAATACAATCAAGCAGTAGATATTTCACTGGTATATACTGCTTAACAGCAGATAGATCTCCAAAGAATCAAAATAAAAACGTTTATGACAATTAAAGGTGCATTTCAGTGGGGACTGAGTGGCTTCTTTCATAGCACACGGCCTTCTTGATGCACACCTGTGTCCAACAGTTGACAAAGACATTCCCCAAGGGTAAGGTAAAAGACCAGAATGTAAACCTTTTGATGAAATTGAAACCCTTGGAGGCTGAGGAAATATAACCCCACCAGTCTATGAAAGCTGCTCCGTTTTGTCATTGATCAAAAAGTATTAAAAATATAATAAAGATCTGTTAGTGACTGATTAAAGGTCATACGAAGCTAACAGAGATTGAATAACAATAAAAAAGAATCAATAGTGCAAATATTGGTCTTAGGGTAACTTCATATGAGCACTGTAACAATGATTAAAGAGCTTTCTGGGGAGTGCAGGGGTGGGATTTGTTTCAGGTCGAATCGTGAAATGAACAATGCTGTCACTGAATTTATCTAATTGGTATAAATAAGACAAAATGCCCTTCTTGGCTTTTAGTGCATGATGAAAGCCCAGGGGAGGGAAAATGTATGTGAATTGTACTAGAAGTGCTTTGTGGCTTCATATTAAAATATTGACTATGCTCTGCTATAGAATCTCAGGCCACAGTACTCAGAGTACTGCTAAGCGCTTTGGAAAGATGTCGTTCTATAAACTGTCTTTAATTTTTTCCCCACCTGATCCCAGACATACCCCGGCTGGTCAGTGATTGGGATTTTAACTGTGTGCACAAAAGAAACAGTGATTGAGGTACTTACCCTAATGAGACCTCTACTCCTGCCGTGCTCTTTTGTGTAACTTGATTGAATGGGCACAGGGTATAAGTATACCTGCAGAGACAAAATGAAAACCAAAACGTACTCACTAAACTGTAGATTTTAGCTGGTCCCAGATAAAAGTTCAAGTTGGTAACCATCACAGTTCTCAGGACCATTCTACATCAGGGCAAATACTCCTTAGGACAAAAGGAACCTTTGAGTGATGTACTATCATGGCATAAGCAAAGATATTGGTGCAACACCGGCAACCACCATATATACAAAAGAAATTAGCAAGGACATTTTGAAAGCACTCTGGACGATGTTACATTTTATGCAAAAAATAGCTCTAAAGATCTAGAGGTTTTCTAGTAAAGTCCAGGTTTATTAAGGGTTTATTTTGACTTATCAAAGGAAAAAAACAAATGGCAGCATTTTCTGTGAACTACGTGGGATAGATGAAGATGAACAAAGATTATAAAACAGTAAAAGACCACAGCAACCAAAGAATATCTTTTGTTGATGATGGTAATATCAGCACAAATTATCTGTAAGTCAGGTTTTTGGAGGTTATCAGGAGCAGCAGCAGGAGCTGTAGTGTACCCCTAGGAAGCATCTGTCAAAGGTTAGTAAGTCCTTGTATCCTTGTATAAAAGACAGTACAGGTGCTCTTTTTATAATATACTTCACAGTGTCTACTAACAATGGACAAAAACATTTCAACTATAAGCTGCCATCAGTCCAACTTCAGACAAACAACAAAAACCCAGCACACTGTTACCGTATATAACATTGTATATTTAGCAATGTAGAGAAAATAGTGAGATGTTATTTTAAAAGAGCACAAAGTCAGTGCCATTAGCCACACGTCCATTTCCAGTTAAATTGTTTTGCTGAAACCGCACACAAAAAGTACAGAACTCTGAACCCGGTGTTATCTCACTTACATAGCTGTACATAGCTGCTGCTGTACATACTGCCAGCTAGCTAATATGCTGGCATTAGCATACTCACTTGCAGTGTGAAATTAAACAAAGTCCCATAGGGAATGCAATTCTCGGGGGCCCACCTCAGTGGACAGTTACCCTGATGAAGCCCTTGGGGGTGCATATATCTAATTTGGTAAGTTGTTCATGGGCGCAGCCAACATACTCAACCCTGCTGCTCAACCCACAAATGCATTTTCCTTATGTGGCACCATTCAAGGGGAAATAAACAGGTCTTCCAACCGTATAACATTTATTGCCAAGAAGTGTTGTTAAAACAAAGAAACCATTGACCAAACTTTTGTGCCAAGTTTAGTTGAACATTTAGCATGTACTCCAGTAGCTGGTGGAGACTAAACCTCTCTGGATGCAACAAAAGAATTACAGTTACATAACGATATTTCAAAGTTATGGTTACTCTGAAAAACTTGACAAAATAATTCCCATAGCTGACGCAAGCAGAATTTAAAGCAAGTTATAGTCAATACTCTAGAAGTCAACTAAATCAAAGCTATCTTGTCTAGTCTGTCCTGGCTCAATGGCTCCCCCCAGTGACAAAAGATGCCACTATCATCACTAATCTACTAACAAACTGATCAAAGACAATCATGGTGAAACTTACAGGAGAAAAGCCGGCCTGGTTTGCTTCCTTGACATCCGAACTATTACAGTGGCTGTTATGAGAGGATGCCCACAGTCGAAACAAGAGGAGAGACAATGAGTGAGGGAGGGTGGAGGGAACGAAAATGGCTATGGTGTAAAAAAAAAAAATAAACGGGGGCTGGGAAGTGTAAGGGCGACGAAGAACCGTGTGCGAGAATAGGAAGATGAAAGAAATGAAAACGATGAACATCAGAGACAGCGGGGCAGAAAAGAGGTAAGTGATTGGCTGTCGAGTTCATTTGCTCTTATTTACACTTGCTTGCGGATTGAATTAAATACGGCTCATTTTTGAGACTTTTATTTAGTCATTCATCCTTTCATGTCTGCCCTGTATTTCACTGCTCAAACATAAGGAGAAAAAATAACGAGCATCTGCAGCATTACTATGATGTCGGCAAGAAATGCAGCCCCAAATGTCTCAACAACTCTTGGATTGACTGCAATGGAATTTGGTACATTTATGGTGCATTCATGCAGTGGTGATAATACTTTGTGTTGCAAAATATTGCCTCATTTTTTATTTCTTGGCTGACACAGGGACCTCTGCATAAAGGGAAGCACACAACACTCAAGCTTTACATTAAATGAGATTTATTTATAAGGGTCTATATGCACAGCAGGATCAAGAGTGAGTCAACAAGAGGTCAGACTTAGTGAAGGAAACAATGTTTTGTGATTGAGTTTGAAATTAATTTAATCCTTAAGAGTTACAACACAAACTTTGATGAAAATGTTAACCTCGATTTAGCCTTATGTAGCTTCCTAGCTCACCTTTGTAAGCTAGGATGCAAAATAATGACATTCAACAATAATGCCTAGAGTGCATTTCATTCATTGGCACCTTTCTTACGCAGAATAATAAAAACTGTCTGCTTTCCAGGTATTTAGCTGCTAGTCTATTCACGCTGCAGGACTCACGGCCGATTGTAGCCCAATCATCTTTCTGCTCGCCTCCTTTAAACCAATCAGACCTTCACTCTGCATCCTTTAAATCCCACTGTTTGTCTTTCATTCTTCCTTGCAGACTCTTTTGTCCAACCCACCTCCACCAAAGCCTCCATGTGATCCCTTAATACCATCAGGGTCTAGACAGTCCTGCTCTAATTCCTATCACTTCTGGGATTTCATTCTGCTGTGATGGGCCATCAGCATCTAACCACCAAATAGCATAATTGAGTTCTGCAGATCAATAATTAATGTTCAATTCCTTCTAATGGCTTCTTTGCTTGGGATCACTGCTCTGCTGCATGATCCAGTCTGGGCCAAGCTTGAACTATGGGACACACGACCTCATATCTGACGCTACAATACTTATTATTGCATTGCAGACTGTAAGAAGCTCAAGTCCTGCAGCTGCAAAACCACCCAAATCATCACACCTCCACCATCATGCTTTACAGTCAATATGAGGTGTTTGTGCCGTGGTTTGGTTTTCGGCTGGACATCTCCACTTTGGTTTTATCTCTCCGAACGACATTGTTCCACGTCTCGTGGTTTGTTCAGATGTAGCTTTGTTGTTTTAAGGGAGAACAAGCAAACTGCTAAATCATCTGCTCTTATGGTCACACTAATAATCAAGCAAGTGGAATGATTATCAGCACCCGGCTGCTCTAACAAAGGTCTATATATTTTTTCCCCCATGACTATGTATGACCAACACAAAGTATTTCTTTGTGCTGTTCAAAACCCACATCTTGACTTTCACTATTAACCAATCAGTATTTGACATTCTAACTTTAACCACTGATTGTTTATTCGGACGTCTTCTTGATCCACTCTTTCCTGCTGTGTATACAGAACCCTGTAATGGGTCAATAGCATTGTTATTATCACAATATATTTAAAAATCACAAATGCAACATTAAATATGTTGCCACTTTACATTTTAAAATTAAAGAAATATGTTTAAAAGAGTTGTGGACTAATTTATTAAATTTTTATTTACATAGTTGTCATAAGTGCTGTAGCTGAATGCTTTGTTTGCACGCTCATATTAAACATTAGCATGTGATTATCCCAAAGTTGTATCTAGTATGGGTGTAGACTCTGCTTCCCAGAATCTACACCCAGAATATTCAGCTCCGAAGTCACATGAAAAGTCAGCAGGAGACCTACAACTGAATTAAGTTCAATGAGGACCTCATGTAACTGGTTTCTATCATGATCCGATAAAAGCAAAACTGATTGCCAAATAGGACAATGTGATATGTGCCAAGTAGCTTCCCATGCTAAATAAAATAATAATTAATAAATTTGAATTCCCTCTCGACATTGGCTTCATTGTTCCTTATACAAGCCAGGAGATTCATTAAGTTTGCAAAGCAGGTGTTTCAGCAACAACAAACATCCTCATCTGAACTCTGAAACAGATGGCACCTGATAGACAGAAGCACAGTGAGCACAAAGAAGGGGGTGGCGGTGGAAAAGTACGAAATGAAAACGCTATCAAATGAGTCCCAGAAGGGAGTACCCCTCTATGTCCGTACCTCTTTTCTCCCTCTCTTACCCTCAAGGCAAAGCCATCTATCCCTGTACACTTTTGCTGACACGCCATCACTGTGCCAAAAGAAATAAAAATACGGCCAGGCTATTTGTGTGTGAGGACACTGTGATTTGACCTTGGATGCTCTTCTCCATGTGGCAGCCTGCAAGAAAACAAAGCAGGCATAGCAACGCAGAAAATGTGTCGCTGGGTAAAAAAAAAAATTGATTAGAGATTAGAAATGCCGAGCAGACTGTGCTGCAGGTTGATTAGCTGCCTGTCTGCAAGACAGACACTTCACATTTTCCCATGTTATATAAATGGGACATAGCAGAAAGGTCGAAGAGGCACATTTACACAAACTGTCTCTGGCTATCCTAAGCAAATGAGCACAGTGTGACATGAAGGAGGAAGTATTCGTGAGATGGATGGGCAGTGACAAAGGCTTTGAGGAGAAGAGACTGACAGTGCTGGAAATATAAGACTAAGAAGGAGCCAGGAGAACAAAGACAGAGGGAAGGGCAAGACAGAAGGATAAAAAGAATAAAAGTGCGCAAAAGAGAGTAGGAGGGAATCAAAGTGTGCTGGTGGTGACGCTCTGCATATGAATCACCAACTGCACAGGCCTCGAATATGACAGATGATGACGTGCAACACGGGAGACTCTGAGTGGAGGATGCAAAAGAAAGAGAGAAGCAAAGGGAGAACACGATAGGTGACTAAATAAATCTTTGAAAATGATTAGAAGCAGAAAATCAGAAACGACAAGACTGATCCTCCCATTAAGGGCCTGAACTCCAACGCCCACCGCTCGATCTACGACCTTGTTCCAATGCAGCTCTGGCACTAGCCACAATAAGTTGGTAACACTGTGTCAAACTTTGGCAGGTGTTCTAGGGCCTGAAGGTACACATTTACAGAATAAATATCTTAGATGCAAC